ATCTGACAAATTTTACCCAGACTATATATTACACGTGTACATACAGGATACTGATTTGCATGAGACTAAAAGAAAACAAAAACATAGATTGAACTAATGATACGAAGGGGATTTCCCTTTCGTTTGAGGAAAACTAAATACATTTATCAAGAACTGCAAATGCAACAAATGTTTCAACTTGAAAAATCTGACCCTTTTATTTTCTTTAATAAAACTTAGCCGATCATTTAATTGAAAACACATTTTATTAAGCATTCCCAAAAATTGTCAACAAATATGATCAGGGGCTCTGTTCAAGAATTTTTATGAATTTTTGAAGTTCGTGACATAAAAAAAGAGACTTTCATCCAGACAGAGAACATTCAAGATGATCCCTGAGGCATAGTATAAAGGATTATTCCATTGTTCGTGATTAGTACCCGGCATTACGTACCGCCAAAATGTTGACAATTGTTACTGATTAACTTCTGTGAAAAATTCCACGGACCACACAGCCCACAGTAGCTATTTGTTTAACAGTACACATATTGTACCTTGTGCAGTCACGACTAATGTATTAATATCACAATGCAGACGGCTTGCATCCTAGACGTCAGGGCATAAAAAATAGCACTGGTCAACACTTAAAGCTATAGTCCCTCATTTGTAATTTGTGCATTTTGTTCGTTTGAAGCAACAAAAGAGTTCAAAATCTAATGAAGGATACTGAGCAACTAACCTGATGAAGTTTCAGCTAAGCTTCAGCTGTACATTCCGAGAAAAAGAGCATTCTCAGATCTCAATTTCAAATCAAAGTTGCTGAATCATGTTTTGAATTGTTTTGAATTGCAACTATACGCGACGTCGCGCACTGATCCGACGAATTATAACAACCGCGCGCGGGTGTGCGTCGTTCGAATACTTGTGCGCGCTGCGCTGAATAACAAACGAACTACTAATTTAAATTTTCCTACAGTGCTTCTTAAGAATCACTGTTGGAAATGCCTTCTTTCGTTGATTACTTCAAAATGACAGCTTCCCAGAAAGAATAATTTCACAGGGAGTTTAGTCCCCTTACTATCTTTCAACCAAGTTAGTTTTTCAACAATAATTACGCCAGTTACTTCTCGGATGGCTGCAAATGATGGACTCTACCTTTAAAGAGAATATACAACACTTAATTGCAAACATCGAAAAATAAAACTACCAAGTTTTTACGAAATAACTTACTAGGATGTAGGTAAATGACAGTCTCAAGCATCCTGTAAAATTATGGCACCTGGTGTGAAGTCATTTTCAAGAAAATGGTATTTTTGTATGCATTTCCAACGGTGGTCGGCCGACCAGCGTTGGAAAAACCTAACTATTTTTCAACTACTGCTCCAAATTTACCATTTTTCAGTCCAAATTTTGTTTGCTATTGGTTACATGTTCATGAACGGGTGCAGGCCAGCTAGACTGGTTCCCTTGCCATACAATATTCCATCATCTATAATTGATCCATTTACCTTTTGTGGAGTCAGGGAACCAGACTACTTGAACATTTTTTTTTTTCTTGGTTTTTCCAACCTTTTCGAACACAAAACTTCAAAAATGTCAGTGTAACAACATTTGATCTATTATACTAACCCCTCAAATAGTACATTTCTGAAAATTACAGCAAAAGCCATGATGTACATTCCCTTTAAAGGTGCTTTTTATCATAATTCGGAGAATCAGTACAACAGAACATTTTGGGGCCACGAGATAAATAAAAAGTGCTTACATTTCTGAGATTTCAGAGATACTATCAGATAGATGTCAAATAAAAATCAATATGAGGTTGTGAATATATTGCTCCAAAATAAGAACAACTTAATAGACAAACGTCCATATTTTCAGGACAACACTGTGAACGATCCTTACACATTAATTTTCATACATACTTCAATTCTTCTAGTATTTTAATTCAATAACTGTGGTTTTTTTGGCAAAAGTACAGTTTAAACTCATTATGGAAATTAAATTTGCGACTAACACTTCACTGCATAAAAACATATCACAATTCAAAATGGCGCAAACCTAACATTTTTTTTCAAAAAAGAAAGAAAACATGTAATATTATGTAATTGTGATCACATTTTATACACTTACAGCAGTACTGCTACAAGAGCAAAAAGCTTTTTACAAAAATAAGAAAAGAAGTCAACTTTGTAATTTGCACAGAAATGAAATTCGATTCACAGCACGTAGAAAAATATTAACAGGAGTGGTATGATATCTACTGCAGTGATCTTGTTTAGCTTTTTATTCACAATTCAACCGCGAGTCTTCACGTAAATGAAACCGATTTTATAAATATATACAAATATCTAATGTTGACTTTTGGACCCCATTAAATTAAATGTTGTTTGGTTGGCTTAATGGATAAGAAAGAAAGAAAAAAAACCTTATCGAGATTGCCCTTTTTAAGGGAACAATGAAGGTATGCACAGTAAATCTTAATGCATTTTACAATATTTACATATTTTGCCTGGGCAACAAATCTTAAAGGCACATACATGTTGGATCATTAGTAAAAATGCAAAAATGGACCTACCGATCGAATGTTATCCACCCAACTTCCGCTTTTGCGAAATTTCGTTGCTTAAAAAAAAACAATGCACTTCAAGCAAATAATCCTATGTACCATTAAGTCTAAGAAAATACATAAAGTGTCAATTTAGATGCAAAATATTTCTGAAACTTTTCATAACTTTAGGAAAACTAGCAATTACATACAGTACAAGCAAAACATCTCGCACAGTGGATATACAAACTATCAGACCCTTCTCGTTGTAAACATCTCACCTTTCACATAGTTTATTCTTTTGGCTTTCTGCGCCATCGGTTCGTCATCAGATCACCTCTTGGCTACGTCCCTTTACTCCCTGGTCTGTGACTAGTACCAGCTGAGTCAGATCTCGCCCTGGACGACAGGCTTGAGACACTGGTCAGAGAACTACCTGATGCACCTGCTGGTTTGAAACAAGAGGGTAAAAAAGAGAATGAAATAATATGAAGCCGTCTGAATGCCAATCGGGTAAAATAAATCAGAAATCTGGTCGGTGTCGGATGCCGCTTAAGTCCCCAGCAGAATCCGGGGGCAGTAAAGCCCTTTCCCATACGTTAGACTTACATGTAGAAGAACAATCAAACCATGCTTTAGAATGTACAGTTGAATATGCGGCAAGCATGAATCGCGGGCTAAAAATTGAGGGCTGAATCGCGTGTTTAACGTTTATATCCGGGTAGTTATGGCATTGGCTTAACCAGTTTCCACTAAGCAAATAACTAGCAGTCTCTAAACGTGCGGGTACCAGCTAAGTGGCAGGCACGCAAGCAAAAGATGTAACCCCACAGTACATGCACGCTGTGCACAGTACGATCTAAGATGTCGCAGTCCGGTTGGCGCAGTGGTTTCTTTCCTCGCCTTTCACCGCTATGGCCCGGGTTTGATTCCTGTCCTGACCACATGTGGATTGGGTTTTCAGTCCCTACCTGCATGATTCCGTGGGTTTCCCCCAGAAATATTCGTCTGGGGTTTTCCTCCCACCTTTAAAACGGTAATTTCTTCTCATTGTCTTCTCTCTACAGGTTTCTTCAGGCTTACGAACTTACAGTAGGCCATCAGCCTCGGTCCAAAATTTTGGCCACCAGTATCAAATGAGGGGAATAATTGTCATAGCGATTTTTGGCAAGGCATACACCTCCAGAAAATATGTGATAGCATTGCAGCGGTTGCAGCTTTTTGGGTGTTATCACCCTTTTTTTCAAATGTCCATCAATATGCTTGTTGCCACGCTAGGGGCGGTATACCTTGCGCATGCGCACTATAATCATTTATGCCCTGATTTGATACTGGCCAAACCCCCAGGCTGATGGCCTACAGTGCCTAGGGCGCTTTTGAGGAATAGTTAGTTTCAATCCAAGAAATAAAATAATAATAATAACTGAGACTAAAATTGGTGTATGCCAATATATTAGCTTGTTCAAAGAGTACATTATTCTAGGATGTGTTTGTCAGTTCAACTACATTATCCGAACAGTGCCAGTGTATTTGAGATATCCTAGATTTCAATTTACTGCAGCATACCTTGATCCTGTGCCTCCCCCTCGTATTCTTTGCTCCGCCTCTCAGCAGCCACCCTCTCCAACCCCTCGGTGTAGAACCCATTGAAGTCCAGTCTGTGGATGATGTTAGTCATGTTGTGTTCGCAGTCTGTAGTGCTGAAGAGACTCAGCTGATCCAGCAGGCTGACCAGTAGAGTGGAGAAGTTGCTGTCAAAGTTAGCGATGGTGCTGGCGAATTCCTCGCTGCCAATCAGCAGTTCACGTGTTCTGATGCCACCTGATAGAGATAATCACACCAGAAATGTTTCAAGTTGCATTCCCTGTGCTCTTCAACAAATTGTCTTTTTTTTTTAATTAATAACTCTTCAACTTCAAGGTTATTATTTAAATATTTCTGGTTATGAAACCAAGGACTCCTCAAAAGCGGACAGGAACCACATCAAGGACTCCTTGGTTGAAAAACGTATACAAAACCAATGAGAGCTGAGAGTATAAACAAAGGAAAAGGGAAGAGAAACAAAAGAAAATCCTCGATTTACACCATAAGGCCACACAAAAAAGTCTTTTTTTCCCTGATTTTTTTGCTTCAAATGTCGGCTGATGACTGCAAATGGTGCCCGACCAAACTTAGTGCAAATATATGGGAGTCCAGAGAGGCCACATAAAGCTTATTCTCGACCATAACCCATCTCAAAACACGTTAAAATTGTGCAGCAGCAGGATTCCTGTCAAACCAGTGAGTTTGGCGGTTTTGAGACATCATCTTTCATTGAAAAAAAAAACTTCTTCATTTTGCCGACGCGCATGGCTACGGCGACGCGCGCGCATACCAGAAACCGGAGACTTTTTTTTTGGCCTAAACAATGTTTTTGTTTGTGCGCATATGACACAAGGTACACACAACTCATGTTATTCTGAATGTACACAAAGCCATAGTATCTGTGCGTGAGTGCAAGGCATCGTCAGCAATGCACTCGAATGTCCCTTCCAGTGGTCTCCTCCAACTCTCCCTTTGTACCCTTGAGGGGTACTTGTGCACAGAGCTGATTTTCTTGACTTGACTCCCATGACTATACCTTTGCTGCAGTCCTGTATTTCCTGGACTCAGACTTGTCTTTATCTTTTCCTTTAGGGTCTGTCGTATCCACTCGGAAACTCGCCTCACCCTCCACGTTCATTGTCTCTGTCATTCGCTGTGCAAAGGAAGAAAACAAACTTTGAAATCTTTTTCTTGTCATGTCATGTTTACAATTGGTCTATTTAATGCAGAGTTTTAATTAGTCACACACTAGACCATTACAAGTCCATCACAAGACAATCACAAGTCAATCATAAGCCAATCACAAGTCAATTACAAGTAATCCCAAGCCAATCCCAAGTCAATCACAAGTCCATCATAAGTCAATCCCAAGTCAATCCCAAGTCAATCACAAGTCCATCACAAGTCCATCGCAAGTCAATCCCAAGTCAATCTCAAGTCCATCACCAGTCAATCCCAATTAATCCCTAGTCAATCCCAAGTCAATCCCAAGTCAATCCCAAGTCAATCACAATTCAATCACAAGTCAATTTCAAATCCATCACCAGTCAATCCCAGTCAATCACAAGTCCATCACAAGTCAATCCCAAGTCAATCCCAAGTCTATCACAAGTCCATCACAAGTCAATCGCAAGTCTATCGCAAGTCAATCCCAAGCCAATCACAAGTCAATCCCAAGTCAATCCCAAGTCAATCCCAAGACAATCCCAAGTCAATCCCAAGTCAATCCAAGTCAATCTCAAGTCAATCCCAAGTCCATCACAAATCCATCACCAGTTAATCCCAATTAATCCAAAGTCAATCCCAAGTCAATCCCAAGTCAATCACAAGTCAATCACAAGTCAATCCCAAGTCAATCCCAAGTCAATCACAAGTCAATCACAAGTCAAATCACTAGTCAATACACTAGCCAGGTCAAGACAAAAGAATGCTTTTGCCATGGTTCATTTGAATAGCTCGTATCCTGAATCGAGAAGAGATGACTTGTCATGACTCGTGGTGACTCGTGGTGACTTATGATGACTTATGATATCTTGTGTTGACTTGCGACTGACTCAATTACAATTCTTGTTTCACAAATCTACAAATTGAGTTTTTGGTATTCTGACCTGTATGCAGTTGGCGATGTGACGCATACCAGCATGAGTTTGCTGACAATCTTCAGTAGTTCCGGGTCCGTCAGCATGCAGTCCTTCAGACACATGTTCAGGAAGTCGGTGTGGATATCGAGTACATCATCAATGGTGGATACCTGAAGAATCAAATAAACAAAAATAAAAAAACACAAAATCAGTTTTGCATAATTTGTGAAATTTTTATTGGTTGCTGCTCAGTTACATCGATTAGAATTACACAGTCTAAGGGAGTGACTGTTCATCATCATCATCATCATCAAGTCGACTTAGTCGGACTGCAACAAAGGCACGCCATATATCACGCTCTCCCATGGCCGTCCTGATCTCGGCTGCGGAGGCTAGCCCAGTGTCCCGACACAGCTGGTGCATGTAGGTTAACATCTGCCCACCTCGAGAGGCTACTCCACCTCGAGTGACTGTTTAAAATCTTGAGTTATAAAAAGTACTTTTTCGACTGAGTTATTTTTGTCCATACCTGTCTTAGTTTAGTCTCCATAATTTGCCAGTTGGGTTCGATGACCTCAAACATCATGTAGTACTGTAGATTCTGGACAAGGTGAAGCATTCTCTGGCGCAGTGCAAAGGCTGCAGCGTACCACCTGGAAGAGTGGAGGGTGTACTGCTTAGCTGCCTTGTTCAACACCCACAAACTAAAAACGGAAAGAGAAGATAAGAAGTCATTCATAAATATCTGAGACAGTTTACCCACTCCTATTGGTTGAGAGCTCGTCATGTGTGTGGTGTTAAGCCACTGTTTAAACACCGTCAGTGACGTTTAAAGTGATGTTAAATGGCTGCACTCTGTACCACATGAACATAGCGTGCGCTACGCTTGCCGACTGCAGCCAGGTGGTTCAGAACCATTTATATGATCTCCATATAAGGAGATGTTTAGCAAATCACACTCACGAAACGCGCAACATACAAGTGGCCTGGTCATTGATTAAAATTGTTGAGCGACACATTAATTGTTAACATTTTGTGAATTAAAAAAAAAAATTAGGCTCTGACCAAAAAGGAATTTATGAATAAGATTCGGCTCGAGCCATTATCTACGATATGCTACTAGCCGGTTTAAATCAGGCGTTTAAAATGCTCCAACACACTATTTCTTCCTTATTCAAAATCATTACAGGAATTTGTTAATTACAAAGTGGCACCATATAGCAGGACTAATTATGCTGTAAAATGGACAACTTTTTTATAAACTCTTGACATAATTTTTAGTTTAAGCAGTTGTACAAGTAATGGTTTTTCGAGGTTGCGTGAAAGTTTCCCATGGTGCAATGAGATGCCATGTCCGAAATGAGTCTTAAAAGCCACGGCTATGTCTATTGTCAGATTGTTCCAATGCAGTTGTAATGGGCAAAGACCTAGATAATAGCCCTAAACAAGATAGTCTGATGCGGCTAAGGCTTCTCACAACAGCACTGGAGCCTTGGAAAAAAATCACAACATAAACAAAATGTGTGACCAAACAAATGTTTGCACCATATGCTGGAGCGTCCATCTACATGGAGATAGTGCCAAGAACCACAGTACTTACTTGCATAAGATTCTTTCCACGTGCTTGCAGTAAAACAGATGTCTGAACAGAATCTGGTAGCGAGTCAATGCCTGCAATATAAAAAATTACAGATTGTCAACAATGAAGGCATCGAGGCAGAATTAATCAATTGTTTCAAAACTTGTTCTCAAGCGCAAAAGCCCAATAAAAGAAATGCTTCAAACTCACGTGACACCATGTCCACAAAATTGACACTGTTGTATCAAATATATATACAGTAGTTGCATTATTATGCATATCCACATCAGTGCAGTAGTCAAGTCTGTTCGTAAGTAAATTGCAGCTCACGTCACAAGTCTTGTCACAAGAAATGGGGTGAATAAAAACAAAGGAACACTTTTTTCACAGTTCATTTGACAGCTTTTGACTTGACTTGGGACTGGGGACTTGTGAGGACTTGTGAGTACTTGTGAGGACATGTGTTGACTTGCAAGGACTTGTTAGTTTTTGTGAGAACTAGTGCGGACTTGTGAGGAGCTATGAGGCTTTGTGAGGACTTGCGTTGGCTTGTGAGGACTTGTAATGCCTTGTGTTGACTTGTGATGACTTTTGAGGACTTGTGATGGACTTGCGAGGAATTGTGAGTACTTGTGAGGACTTGTAAATCTTTCCTCCTACCTTTCTGCTAAGGATGAGCGACTCAGGCCATCTGACGACGTAATCAAAGGAGAATGCTTCCAGACAAGAAATGTTGATCTCAGTAGGGTCAATCTCCTGAATGATTGCTGTATGGAAAATCATGAAAAAATAAATCAAAAACAAAAAAACAAATTGCATTACACAGGGATTTGAATCTATTTGCTATAACAGAAGAATGACTCTATCAGGATGGATGGCTTGAGCGATAAAACTGAATTGTACGTTCATCCAAGGATAAGAATTATTTTCAAAAGCTTACATTTCTCAACCCTTGACTCGATGGAGATATTCTCAGCAGCTGTGTGATGAGATCATAAGGAAGCAATGCCACCCTGAAAAAAATACACACAGACAAAACAATTAGTGTTTATGCTCAAACGTCATGACAGAGTATCTACCCAAGACTACCCAAGCAGTCTCCTGACGATGACTGGAGCAGGCTAGTCGAAACGTTGAGACCAAAGACAAGTACTTTTAGAACTAAGCAGGACTGTTCGTATCAGAACTAAAACTACTTAGCAAAAGTTGATAAGCAGGACAAGTTCTTATCAGAACTACATATCTACTGAGCGACAGTAGTTATTACCACATGGTGTTACTGCAAACCGAAAACGATACTGATACTCCACCATGCAAAGCCTAAAATTTTATACCCAAGACTTGGAAAAGTTCTTATCTTAGACCCGACTAGTCAGCAAGGCTAGCTCCAACAGCGACTCCAACCTGCTTGGGAAACAAACCATCACTTGAATACTGTGTCTACTCAACACAAGGCACTTTTCTCACCTCAAGTCATCTTTGAAGTTATCTGATTTGGCTTGACTCGTCCGTAGAGCTAACTCCAACAGCGACTCCAGCCTGCTTGGGATGATCTCATCCACCTGCTTCTTCATCTCCTCCGTGGTTATGTCCATCAGGTGGACAAAGAAATCCCCTTGCTCCAGCAGAAAGTATCTCTTTATGGACCTGATCAAAGGTTCAAAATGTTAATTTGGAGTAATAGTTTCCTTAATTTATTTAGTGAGCGAAATTTCAAACTCTGATCAGGAGCCAACTTCATGGCATTGCTGAACAGTTAGCAGAAAAGTTGTGCTGACCTTAAGCACTATTTCATGGCACGGATGTGCTAACGGATGCGCGCATATGGTGATGTCTATTGTTACGTTGCTAAATTTAAGCAGCTTTTTCCATTGAGGTAAGCATGCTTTGTGTGTGCTTACTGCTCATGTCTCCATGAAACATACAGAGGCTCTGGTAGCAGAAATAATGTGTGCTTAGCAGCGCTGTAAAATTGGGCCTAGCATGCTACTCCATCACACTGTCTTGCTAGACTTGCTATGAGAAAAATATTAGCAATGCAAGCGCACAATACATATACAATGTTTTGATTTTTATAGTAGTTATTGGTTCCTTAACAAGTTTTTCAATTTTGAAATTTCCATGTAAGCACATATTTGTAATTTTACATATTAGGCCAAAAAAAAAATAAGTCGGTCTCTGGTCAGCGCGCGCGTCGATTTTAATCATGCGCGTCGATCTTTTTTTTTTCCAAAATGTTCCGCGGTAGTTCCAAAGAGCACCAAGGAATGGGAAATTGCACCAAGGCAAATGATCGAAAGCACCAAGCAAATTATGGAGGACACCAATGTACTTGAGAAACACCAAAAAAGCAAAATAGTACCCCACCTTGTCTGTACAATCCAAGCTTGAAGAAAAAAATATAAAAAAATGTTTTTTAAAAAGCCGCGTGCCGCATCAATTCCGGAACTTTGGTCTGACCAGAGACACCGAATATTTTTTTTTTTGGCCTTACTGTAACTTGGTCACTTCTGCCACATTTGTGGCTGTTGAATTGGTTTTATTTTTATAATAATGTTAATATACCATCATGACAAGTTGACTGCATAAGTTTTAAAAAGTATTTGCACTTTCTCCAAACTTAAATTGTGGCCATTTCCAAAGTCCATCATTTCTAGAAGCAGGTTCATTGCCCACTTTAACAGATGAAATGTGTTCAACATACCTGAGTCTAGGCATCAGTTCCCGATCGTCTATAATATGATCCAGTAGCACCCTGCTTGCATACTGATAGGCGTGTTCAATGTGCTCACATACTGCCTCTCCTTCAGTGTGTACAATATCTCCTCTGCATGTGGGCATTTGGGGTCACGCCCTTAAAAAAAAATTAAACCAAAAAGCCAGAAAGCCTTTAAGAAAATCCGAGTTATTCCTTAACCCTAACAGAACCCATCAAATCCCCACGGCATGTTTTGTTGTAATCTGTCAGGATGGGTACAGTACCCCTAAACTGACAGTCTTTTACATTGGGTTGGCACACACTCCAGAAACGAAGTCAGAATATGGTGTTGGATTTTGCCAGGATGGTATGGTTCCTAGTAAATCATGCTAGGGAGTTGGGGTTAATTAAGTTGAACCACTCAAGCTCGGAAACAAAATGAAGGGTACAGTCAAAGATTGAAAATTAAAATGTCAATTATACGATCAGCAAAAATTATCTTCAATTATTACTGACACACAATTCATCCTAGAAAGTCCCATTTAAGTACCTTAAATGAACTTTACCTTATTTTTTTATTATAGATCATTAACATTTTCTCAGTCCGACTTAGTATCAACCTTTGAGATTCAACAAAAAAAACGAAACAATCTGTCCCCCCCCCCCCACCCAACCCCAAACCTTCCATTTCAAACTTTCTCACCACACTCTCTGATGACTTGAGGTATTTTTCCAGTTCGAAGGATTTTATCAGCGACCGTCTCCAAGAAGACTGGTATCCTGTCCCGACAGATGGTGTAGTGCTGCTCCCAGTAAGCGTCATTGTATTCTTGCTGTAGCTTCTCCTTACGCAGGGCTTCGTGCTCCTCAATCATGAACTACAAAAGCAGCACAGGTGGAATTGAGAGTACTTCATTTTAGGCAAATTATATGTCAATAATGTACTATATTTCCAGATTTTTTCCTGATTTTTCCCAAAATCCCATGAGATATATTTTCAGTTTAGCAAGGTTGCTGGGAATAGGGTGATTGCAGTAAAGCAACTAAGATATCAGTAGTTGATAATATTCACACTGCATGAATACTAAAAGCCACCATTGCCAACTTGGACACATAGCACAAGATGCACATACGCACACACTGGCAAAAAAACTTCTCTTTGGGTCACTGTCAAATTCCCTGAGTTTTCCTTGACTGGAAAAAGGGAAAGTCATTTTCATGGATTTCCCTGATTTCCAGCATTCAATAAACATCTGCACTTCAATAATATTCTACCACAAATTTGTTGCAAATTTGTTGTGGCATTCTGTTGCAAATTTTGTTGACACAAAACGTACCTCTCCGTATTTCCTAAAAGGCAGGAGAAATTCACCCCTACATACCTCACAGTACGGATCCTTGATGATTCCCTTATAGATCCATTTCTCCAGAATTTCAAAGTACGGTGCACAAGCCGACTGCGTCAAGAACAGGCAAAGGTTCTGAGCTCGTGTATCACTGATAAGATAACAAGAAAATAAATATCAATTTAAATGAAAACACACATCAAAAATCCAGTGTTTACTGTCAAAGAGTCACTGGAAAACCAAACCAAGACTGCAACCACAAAAAGGACAAGTCCAAAAGATGAAGTATTTTCCTCACCCTATCATAGTCACAGTCCTCTCGTGCAGCAGGCTGAGCACAGCACCCCCTGTAGATGCCCCACGGTCGATGGCCTGTGCGATTGACGCCAAGATCTCCATTGTCTGCTTGCATGGCTGGATGTAGAACCAAAATCTCTGCAGAGGGAGCTGACCCTGTCTGAACTGATGCTCCAACTGAGCTGTCAAGATGGATACTCCTACAAAATCACCCAATAACGTGTTAGCCTTTTTCATGATCCGGGTTAACCTTTCCTGCACTTACAACTCACTGAAGTAGACTTGAAAAACGCCTTATCAAACAAGCCTTTTTATGAGCCGGGGTTAAGCTTTCCTGCACTTACAACTCACTGAAGTAGACTTTAATCATGCCTTATCAAAACAAGTGGAATAAACAACATGTGAATGGAATATGAGGTCTGAGTTTGATATGACGATCTTCAAATGATACCCAAAGTTTCCAAAACCAAGTTGGTTGATTGATTGATCAAATGGCTGATTCCTTGCTTATGAGGATTAAGGGAAGTTATACACAAAGCCTGTGCAAACCTAGTCTTAGGCCAAAAAAAAAAAAAATAATCGGTCTCTGGTCAGACCGAAGTTCCGGAATTGATGCGGCGACTCGTTTTTTTTTTTTCAAGCTTGAATTGTACAGACAAGGTGGGTACTATTTTGTTTTTTGTGTCCTCATTATACATTGGTGTCCTCCATAATTTGCCTTGGTGCCCTATATCATTTACCTTGGTGCAATTTCCCCATTCCTTGGTGCTCCTTGGTACAAAAATTGAGGGCGCTGTTGTAGCTTCCATGTTAATTTGGAAAAAAAGAAAAAAGGTTGACGCGCATGATTAAAATCAACGCGCGCGCTGACCAGAGACCGAGTATTTATTTTTTTTGCCTTAGTTCCAAGACCTTCATATTTATTACATTTTTGGCTAGCGTGCAGAAGAAATTAATTCCACTTTAAGAGGGGCAATTTCAACCAATTTCTCACTATATTCGATTCTTAAGTACTTTATTTTATTTGATTCCTAACTCTGATTAGAATCGATTCCAGCGTAAATGTCAGTACGGTCGGTCAGAATTATGCTAAATGCATAGGGCTCAAATTGCATCCTCAGTTGATAAATCACGTAACGAATATCACAATCTTGAACCAAGACTAGTGCTGATTGCTGTAGAGTCCAGTTCAGGAATTTGGACTGCAGATTCATTTTCTCAGATATTCAACATTCACAAACATATGTAACTGTGCTCCAACAAAATTAGCTCCCCCCTTCAACAAAAAAGTTGGTTTTAATTTTCAATTCATTGAAATCAGAAGAAAATTAGCTCTCTAACGACTTATAAACCTTTTGGTGTCTAGTTCTGTCGGTATATTAGAAAAGTGTGGCTGACAAAAAATATGGTAAAACAAGTTGTGCTCCCAATAGGAATGTAGCATTTCGGACGTCATTACATGTTTTGTTGGAACATGTAACAATAATAATGATAACATCACAAGGGCAAACATTGTGGCATAAATTTGCAGACAAACTCACTTTGATGAGAGTCTTCATTGCTCCACACAGGGCATGTTAACCATGCCATACTCAAAGGATGACTTGTCCTCAATAAATCGCACCACAGCAGAGTACATAGTACAGACAGGAAGGATGCGATTGGCCACTTCACGCAATGAGACGTCAGTGATGGTCAATAACGAAGGTGCGGCCAGAGGATTGGTCTTGAGGTGGGCGGAGTAACGTGTACTTTCCCTCGGTACCCTGTCAATAAAATCCAAATAAAGAATTTAAAATACAAGTTACAATCTTGAGCATGTAGTTTTACAATTATGTGATTATGTTGGAAGAAAGGCCTCATCTTATTCTCCTGTCTAGACCTTTTCAACAATTTGACAAGTCTAGGTCTTTGACAAGTATGCTGGCACGTGCTGGCAACAGTTATAAACATAGTCCTGGAGACCTGTTTCAGCCAAAGCCTAAAATAACAATATCACAATAAAAACCTCAGATGGATATTTTCTGCTTGAAGTTTTCTAATGAAACCACAGACAGGATTCCGAAAGAAATTTTAAATTGAAATTCCATGACTTTTCCGGGACAAAATGAGGGCTTTCCATGGCCAATTCCTACGCTGTTTTTGGCGTCTTTGGAGCCTATTGCTCTAGAGGCAAGGGGCGCCACTCCCTTTCAGCCTTCCAGTTTGACACAAGACCACTGAGCACCATAACAGCACCACAATGGCGCACTGAACAGCAACAAGTGTAGAGCATAAATGCATATAAAAGAGGAAGTATAGTAAACTGGAATGCAAACTGGAAGTTTTTTTCTTGGAAAATAAACTTTCCACGACTCCTTGTAAAATAACAAAATCCCATGACTTTCCATGATAGCTTTAAATTCCAAGAATTTCCCAGGATTTTTCCATGACTATGGGAATCCTACACAGACCTAATCCTTGGCGATTGGGGACACTGACTGCAATACTCACCGTCATGACCATGAGGAGGTCCTGCACAATGGCCAATTCTTGCACCCTAGGGGTAGTGTCCCGAGAGCCCACACCCGTTGAGAAGTCCCTGGACTTGACACGAAATCACCAGTCAGGTTAGGCCTCTCAAGTACCCAGGAAGACAGCTCGGGAAGCTTCAAGGATACTGCAAAGGAAACAATGATAAAGACAACATTTTTTTTTTTTTTAATAAAGTAGCAATGATAATATAACTTTCAAGTAGCATGTCTGATTATTAACAGTTATGGACACAAAGAGGTGTAAGTATTCAGACAACATTTCAAATATTTTCTTCGTCTCTAATATACAATAGATTGATCCATTATAAGGACCACCCAGAGTATTTTGACACAGTTGTGACTAAAGCTGCCCTCAGTCGACCTTGTGACGACACAGATCAATCGGCGACTGACTTTTCAGGATCAAGCAGCGTCTTGAGTTACGACCGTCGGGAACATTGCAGTTGCTAATTTTTTTGCGACCTGAGTGTAACTATATTCTATACCATAGCTATAGGGATGTTTAAAAAAAAAAAGAGTAAAAGTGTTTTGACTTGTGTCGACTTTTTGACTCAAAGGTATTTGTGAATGGGAATACAAGTACATTTAAGACCGTATCAGGGGAATGCGCGCTGATAATGGCTCGAGCCGAACCGGCCAAGCACATATTTATCCCCTTATTGTGAAAAAAAGTCCATGACTGTCTATGATGTGGAATCGTGGTGGATCGTCGGTCGTGGGTGACTTGAGCACGGTTGCGATTATTTTGCGTCGGGATGCCGCTTGCTTCAAGAGAATCACACGATTTCTCAGTTTTGTGAACTGAGCATTATTTTCTGCTTAATGCCGACAGTTCCGTCGTGACGCAAGCAAATCGCGGGTTGACCTGAGGCCAGCTTAATGTCCACATGCGTCCACGAAAGTCTGGCATGCGTGCATTGTGCATAACACGCGTCCTGCTGGAACATGCATACGCGTGGCATTGGAGGGGCCAACATGTTGTTACCCAGATACGCAGTGGGCGGGGCCGAATGGATTAGTCTATTGTATGAGGATGAATATAAATGACAGTGCATACATTTGACAATGACAATGCCTTTGGTAGTATCTACTCACAGTTTTTCCTGGATTGTTTCTCCCTCATCATTTTCTTGAAGACCTCCGAGGCTTGGCTAGCTGCTCCACTGCTGGCCACACTCAGAAGCTGGTTACGCAACTACCAAATTGTGAGAAATGGCATGCATTACAAATAATTCACATCAGCTAGTAACAAATTTAAGGTAATAGGAGGATTTCGTTTTTTGAATTGTTTTTTTTTGGGGGGGGGAAGCAACAAAATTACGCAAAATCTTAAGAAGGGAGCAGAACAACTACTTGTTCAAGTTTCAGCTCAGTGGATACTATACATTTTTGAGAAACAGAGAAAAGTTTGCACAAGTTTTGGAGTCTCGTAACTGGATTCCGTAAAAAACAAACTGTGCCTGCGGGTACCTTATTCTGAAATCGTCTTCAATGTTAGTTTTCATCCAAATGACACCATATATCTGTGGGAATAATTTCACAGGGTATTTGGTTCCAGTCCTGTCTTTACTTTGCGCAAGGATTTTCTTATTAAAAGTGCCTACATGCCTTAAATATCGTCTTCAGCTATAACTTAGTCTTCATTTTATTTATAAACTCACGGGTACATAGTCTAAGAAAATGATCAAAATTGAAAATTCTGTTCCTTATAATCTGGAACACACACTGTGTTGAAACACTTATCCAGTATGTTTGCCTAAATATTCTTGCATGATGAATTCATACCTGGCTCATTCCAACTGCAAACACTGCTGATGTTCAACAAGGATTGTTAAAAACAGAACACAAAGATTTAGACACAATCAGAATCAGCTCAGTGAAAAAGCTGTTCACCTTTGCACACAAAAATGTCCCTTAAAGGTTATTTGTTGACCACCCTTATTTTACCTCCGATACTTCCTGTTCTGACATCTTGGATCCGGACGGAGGCAGGACCACCCTGTCCATGGGCATCTGCAGAGCCTGGGCATTTCTGTTGCAAGACAGACACTGTGTCTTTGTCTTCGGACAACTTGGACAGGAGGTAGACAAAGGCATCTAGATCCGATTACTGGAACAAACAAATATATATGTCACTGACAGGCATTCATGATAAATTGCCAGTTATCCTAAAAGTACTTACCCAATTATCAAAAAACTTATTGGTTAAAATTTATTGAAATTATTTTGTCTGGCTTGCTGTCATTTAGAAAATCACAAAATGTAGGTGATTTCCAACGATCAGTCAACGACTGATTTTTTTGGGAAAAATAGTGCTAGAGATAAATTGTGTTGTTGATCAAAAGGTTGTGCCTGATTTTTCACTGTTCTTGAAAAGTTTCTACTGAGCTGAAACTCATTAGGTTAGGTTTTGAACACTCTCCTTTGGATTTTGAGTGGTGTAATTTGGAACCAAACAAAACGTATGTACATGTAATGCAAATTATCCTATATGCCTTTAACGTTCGAATGCACAAGACTAACTTAGTCCAATTCCAGTCACATCAGAACTTGACAGAAGTAATGCAAATTTTTGTCATTCAAATGTTCACATTCCTTTCAGTGCTTGGCCATTTCTCGTAGGGACAAATCACTGACCCATACCATAATGCAGAACAAAAGTAAGGATTTCTGCATTTTAAAACTTATTATAATTCAGACCACACAATCCACATCAAATCCACAGTTTTCCTTACAAATTCAAATGACAGAAGCTGAATTTGAGAGAGAGATATTTTCGTTAAACTCCACATATTGACTCACTTTTTGGATTTCAGCTCATCATATTTCTGCAGGACTCCACAGGAGTCTGGGTAAATTCTGCTATCTTGCACTTAGCACCGTGAGCTGACACTTGTGTAGTGACATACGGCGTTCTGTTCTTCAGGAGTAGGTCCACATAAAGCTCTGGGCCTGCACTACCAGGTAGACTTTACAAAGGAAATAAGGCATTTAACTTGTAAGTGCTAAAATATATACTTGAGTTAATTACAAGTCCTTAATAATCAAGCACAAGTCTATCACAAGTCATCAAGCCATTTTACAAGCTATTTCAAAGGCATTCCAAAGTAAATACTCATCTACTGTTATTTGTGACTGGACTTTGTAAACGGTTTTGTGATTCACTTTTTACAAGACTTGTTATGGACTTGTTATGGACACGACATCATTGTTGTTTAAAGTAGCTTGAGTTCTGTACAGAGGGCACTGAAATGGGGGGTGAAGGGTCTTACAGCAAAACTAATTGACAATCCCCGACCCTAGTCCTATATTGGCCAATAAATATGAGGCTCAAATACTGGACTTCCTCAGAACAGAACTGATACCATGGTCTTCATCGACAACGATGGACGAACAAACAAGATGGCGAAAATTGCAGTTTGTCTAAAACACTACTGAAGTATTTTTCTCAAGGTCATGCACCTTTGAGTTTGACCTTTTGAATTTCCATGGTAATTAACTAGCTAAGTAGCTTCCATAGTCAGTAATAGTGATATCAAGTGAAACACTGTCTAGATTTAAATTTGGGAAACACATGTTTCCAAGAAATTTAGCGTGTATTTACATGGCTCAGTTTTGAACCACATTTATTGGGTTACCCTGACGCTTAAGGGGCCGTTCACAATTATCAACATTTTCACGAGCGTACAAACCGTACGCTGGGGGGGGGGAGAGGGGGGTTAATGGCCGCCGTACGTTTTTTTTTTTTTTAATGTCGATATGTTTTCTCGCCCGTCGCCACAGCCGACAGCCGCAACCGATGCCGATCGAGCACTTGCCGAGCCGGTCGTGCCCCGCGCCAGGCCCCGCTTTGCATCCCATGAACGTATTGTGTACAGCATGCGCAGCATAGTCCTACACACGTACATGAAAATGTACTGTATGTACATGTACAAAATCACATGCAAGTGTCTATATATAGACTTGTGTGAAAAAAAAATCATCCTTTTTCCATACACTTTTAGGGGAGGGGGGGGGGGTCTTGAAAAAGTGTACTCTTCGTACACTCGTGAAATGTTGATAATTGTGACGGCCCCTAACCGATCTTACCCAAGAAGTTTGATGAGCTCGCTGACTTGGTGATGAACTCTGAACTCGCTCATGTTGCCAATTTAATGTGCCTTAAAACTCAGACATCAAGATGCAATTTCTGTAGTTTAAAAACAAAAAAATTGGGTGAAATCATTGTTGGAAAGTCCACCGAGTCAATAACTGGTGGTACAGTTTACATCACTTCATTTTGTCTGCATGTGCAGTGATAATGCAGACACCACTCGCTAGTTTCAGTAGTTGAGTAAAAAAATAGGCAGTACATATCGTCATGCGACAAGGAAACGGACGTTAGCAGGCCAGGCACCCAAAAGCACTTTTGGAGATAATCGAGTAGAAAGTTTTTGCGCTGCCATTTCTTGATTAAATATCACATAAGGTTGAAATTTTGACTGATGACATTCGTTAATAATTCAAATAATATTGTGCATTTTTTATGTCAAAATATTACTTTATTGTGAAGTTATTTAAATTTTTATGTCTAATTACGTTTTACCAGGAACTTCCCAAGCCTTAAACGTACACTTAAGCGACATGTTAAATCTTTACTTCCTTTTGCTGGGAACAAAATTGGCTTTGTGTACCCACTGAGTGGGATGTTAGCGCGCTTCAAACATTTTTTGTTACATATTAGTATTACATGTTAACGTCCTTTTGCCGGCACAAATAATGAAAATCCTCCTTCCATCGTTTGTTTACTGTTAATTACGTCAGAATGACGTAGCTCCTTGAGACAATATGTGTATCAAATGAAAGATATTTCCAAGCTCTATCGATAATCCGAAAAATCTGAATTTGACCTTTTGACCCATTTTTCACCCTTTATACGACCTTCTTCCAGGCACCCGACGATATTTTACTGCGACCAGCAATCTTCCTAATGCTACTTTACTGTGAGTGTGAGTGTGGTCTGTTTTAATAACCCGTGTTCGAATGTTTCAAGGGAATCACTGCAAGACAGGTTCTCAGAATGTTCTTTTCCCTTAACCAGATCGCACTGGAGGCCGTGTATACAGCAAACGTTGTGCGGTATTCGGACCGGATGACAGATAAACCACGCAAGGAGCTAGCCGGAAATCAGTGACCCGCCGCTCGCAGACAGTTCGTCCTCGCGATTGCGCTTTATCGGCAACACTAGAGATCTACTTGAACCTTTAAAAATCTTCATCAACATCAAATGCTATTGAAATAAGTCATCCTATCCTAATAAGTACGAATGCTGACCTAGCCTACAGAAATCGTGAAGCTTTAAACATGAAGTTCAATATTTTTTTATCGAGAGCGCGCCATGTCTCGTATCAAGCAACTGCGCAAGCGCAGATATGCTCCTCTTTCAATGTAAAGTTTTATTTACGCAATACAAATAGCCAAATTTTGTAATTTTGGAGAAAAGAAAACTTGAAAATAAATTATTTTTAATATTTAATTATTTGTACAAACTTTTATTAAAAACTATTACTTACAAGGAAGAAATGTCTAACTTGTTTCATAAATAGTGATAGTACGTAAATTTCGTGAACGCATGCTGTCGCCATATTTGCAGATTTTTTTGTGTGATGTTGCCGATTTTTACGAAGGTAAGAATGCAAAAAAAAAGCCTCAAGAATACAAATGCATAGTAACACACTTTTGCAGTTCAGAGTATGACTGTTATAGCAGAAACTGGATATGTTTTGCGGCATGAATTTGGGGAGGTTCATGGGGGAAATGAGGTTTAAAAATTTGATGTTTATCGGTCCGCTCTTCGGTCAAGTTCGCGTGGTCGACCGGTTGGTTTTATTTTGTGCGGTAACAGCTTGTGCTGTGCCGTTGTGCCGTGCATGCAGTGCAGAGTTTTGCTAGAATTTGATGTTGCTCCGATGGTCCGCACACCCGCACCGGTACTTTGTAAAGAGACTACAGTCATAACTACTAAACATATAGTTGTTATGTGTTTAGGTCTTAGCATGTTTAGCAAAAACATCAAATTTGAAACTGAAAGTTTTCCAACTTGAAATCAGCACATTGTGTTAATTCAGGGCACAAGAGGGCGCTTTCCATTTTTTCATGTGCTGGAATGCAGTGCAAACCGGAGTTGAAATCAGAGAGCTTCCATAAAACAGTTTATGAAACTGAAAACAGTAATTTTTATAACTGAAATCGTTCTAAACATGCTAAAAATGAAAGTTTACATTTCAAGAGCAATCAGTTCCCTCAATATGAATCCATATTTTTTCAAGCCTAGCTCAAGATTTTTTCTCTGACTCTCAGTGACAAAAGCTGGATAAGGAATTTGTTTTCCAAAAAAAAGAAGGAATGGGGCCTATAAATTATTTGAACTTGCATTACGCATTCTATTTGTCAAAGGTTCGACTAAACAGGAATACATTTGGCTCCAAATCCAGGATTGTTCTCCAACTTCTAAATTTGAACATATTAAAGTTTGGTTCTAAGCTGAGCGGCATCTGTGGGATGACATATTGAAGGGGGAGTGTTTTAGAATCTGTTGAATGATTGAGGGCAACATTGTTCATAAAATTTCTATTAACATAGCATGAAGGAAGTTACGCAAAGCCTTGCGACACTTTTTTTTTTTGTAGGTTTGTGTTACAATTTGGAGAACACTCATCCTTCACATATCTGTCTACATATATGTATGCATTGATCTCTTTTTCGCTTAAAAAATACACGTACATCAAGGCCTTGCTTAAATATACAAGACGTTATTTGCTGTATTCATTCGCTCAGGATTCAAATACTCTTTTGAATAACATGACTTACAATTTGTGACCTGTAGCTACGTAATTTCTTCTTGAGATTGGATGTTATCATCAAAACGGTTCAAACACAAAGAGCCATCATAGTCCTAGGGCTAAACAGCAGAAGTGGCCGGTTACAAAAAGTCCAGTAAAACCATCATTGGAAATGCTTACGTAGCATATGGTTGTATCCTTCCGTTATGGACTCCCTTTTGTGCAAATCTTTCAGTCTTCCCATCATGTTCTGATATGAAATTAATTTGTGTTGAAACGTCTACCTCATGTGAACCCTACTCTCTCTAAAATAAAAAATATTTGTAACATTGTGGTACCATATACATGCATACATACAATTCTTCACACTTTTCACTACTTGCAGCCTGTGTGCTAAAAGACATCCAGATTTCTTTTGCAAAGCCAGTAACATTTTTGATTCATAAACATGTTGCTAGTTTTCAACACACCAAAACCATACAACGGATATCTATAGGATACAAACAGTTCTTCACACTTTTGCACTACTTGCAGCCTGTGTGCTAAAGACATCCAAATTTCTTTGCAAAGCCAGCAACATTTTGATTCATAAACATGTTGCTAGTTTTCAACACACAAAAACAATACCAACAGATATCTATAGGATACCTTGGAAGTTACCAGAATTACATTCTGTCTTTATCACAGTTAGTAGTTACACAGACAGCACCTTTTAAGCAGCTCTGACAACCATCATCAAGCTGAAAATTAGAACTACAGGAAAGAAAAACCCACAAATATTAAAAAGTTAATGTTACTCTAGGGCATTTTCAAAAATACATACCGTCAAACATGGGCAACAAGTAATAGATGCAAACCTGTGAAATAGAAAAAAAATTACAAGACTGGAGATTTTGATGACACCCCTCATCCAGGCGGGACTATTACTGTGCGTACATGCACTTTGCATGCACGGATGGCCTCTTGAATGGAATGTGAATCACCAAGACTCTTCTTCATCCAACAACCCTGCACTGGGAGGTGTTACACATTGGACTTAAACTATACAAAATCAGACATAAATGTGTGACCATGACAATCATCACAAGGGCTCCTCTAAGACTCTTTGACTGTATAAAAGTAAGTGCACAGAGTCAGTTATACTTAAACTTGCAGTTCCGATGGTGGGTGGAGTATTTCAAAGAATGACAAAGAATCCGTTTTGTTGGGGTGCGTTTTTTGTTTTCTGGGGGGGGGGGGTTGACATTGTGGAAATTATTGGCTCATTTTGGAAAGATCAGTCAGTATAATTTAAATTATGAATCATGGAAGTTCACCTATTGAACAAAAATCCTATTGC